CTGCCTAGCACCGTCGTTCTTAGCAGGTTTTCTAGATGGTGAGAGAGAAAGCAAGAGGTGCTGGGATGGTTATGCTCAGAAACGACCACCCTGTAAGTACCGTGGTCACCCTCCGATGCCACGGTGCAGGGAGGTACGGCCATAAGATGTGGAATCTGGTGGGTAGATCCTTCGCCCCAGATAGGAATCCAACTTTTATCATTTCATCATCAGATTCTAAGTATTTTTGAAATGTTTAGTTTTCAGTCTTTAGGAATGAAGTATTATGAGGTAAATAAATGTGCTTATAGCTAAGCTGCAGCATTTAGTGGTTTTTATGGTCATTAATATTAATGTTTCTGTTATTTCCAGTGGGAAGTGAATTCATCCAAGGCCACGATCATGCTCGTGTCTTCCTTGTGTCTCCAGGGTCTGGCACGGTGCCTGGTACCCAGCAGGCACTCAGTACATGTCAGCTGGGTGAATGAACTGACACCTGACACAAGCCACGAAGGCGTCAACCTGACAGTCGTCTGGAGTAGGACCCCGTGAACCGGGAGGGGCACGTGGGGTGTGTCCCTAATGGTGGTCATCGAGGTGAAACCTATTTCTTTCTGTTAATCAACCATCCCATTCACAAAGGAAACTTCCTTTATAGCTAAGAGGATGTCACGTGATTTGTGACCATTTTGTTAGAACAGAGCAGAGTCAATTTAACATTAAAAAGCAACCATAGTTCACTGAGAACTTCCTTTGGCTCTGGGACAACATAAAGACCATTCATGGCTGAGAGCTCAGTGATAAAGCTGTGATTAATAAGAACCACAGCAAGATTTCGGAAGTAGGTTTGTATTTTAAGTACACGTCTTCCAATCAGCTCCGAGTCACATGTGGTCGTAACTCTCAGTGAACATAGCAAAAACTTCCCCTGACCCTATGTCACGTGCTTTTCTTTTTAAGGTCCAGGAACTCCTTAGCAACTTAAAATGGGTTTAAAACTGCTTACTGGGGGCGTACAGATCAGAGAAATATATAATTTTACTTGGCAAAGACTAATTTGAAAATGCCACTTTCCAGCAATATGGCAGGCTGCATGCTAAGTGTAGTTTCTCACAGGTCTATACACCTAAAAATGATAGAAGAAAATTCTTTGCTTAATAAATGGTTGACCTGATGGGAAAGTAAGGAAAATCCCTGAAGGCTAGAGTAAGAAAGAGAAAAACTTGCTAGTAAAGGGAGGGAGGAATCTGGGTGTGCTTACTACGGGGCTGTTGTCTTAGTCCCTGGTCTTTGCAGAGATGAAACCTAGGCCACAGACGGGTGGAAGGTGGAACCAACTTCCCCATTACACACAGGGGACCTAGACTCCTAAGCACTGCCATCCTCAGCTGATGAATAAGGTGGCAAAATCCTCTCAGAAGAGAGAATGGATAAAGAGTTGATAAAAAATACGTGCCGGTCTCAACTTTGGTCCTCTGGTGGGGCAGGTTGGGGAGACAAAGTTTCTCTGAGAATTCTCAGCCACCAAGTCTCATGCACAAGGGTTTGTGAAAAGAATTCAGACTACCTGATTATCTTAAAAAATAACTCATGCCAAACAGTTAATTTGAACTACTCC